GTATACCTCCACAATGGCGGCCTGAAAAATTTCCATTTGCGGTATCACAATGAATATCATTATAAATTGGAAAAGTCATTCACAGGAACAATATTAATATTATTTACCTTTAGAAGATGTATCAACTGGTGATGTTGTAGCCTTTCCACTACTAGTAAGATTAATGGCATATTCCTTTGCTATTTCGATAGCTAGAGCTAGATCAGCTCCTCCACTATTACTTTTAATGGAGTTGCACAGCATTCTTAATGTAGGGACACCATGACTCTTATAATCATAGTTCCTACTTAACCAGCAATCAAATACTTTCTGTAGGCAACCTCTGGCAGTTTTTGTCTCTGATTCAATCTCATATAACTTCTTGTAGCTGATTCCTAACAGAATACCAATAGAGTCCCAGCGCCCTGCCAGAACACCAGCTTTTTCCCATACCAGTCGAAAATCAGTAATATCTATCATTACTAACAATACTACTATAATAATTAAGAATATCTACTTACTAAGTTCTCTGTCAAAGGCTCTTTTCAGCTCCTCCGGGTTGGTTGCCATTTCAATTTAGTTTGGAATGCCAGCCGGCCCCCAGCCCTTGCCCCGTCACAAAAAAAATTGTCCCCCTTGAAAATTTATCCTAGGCCTAGGATAGAATATCACGTGATATTTTATGTCCACGTCAGCAATTTTTTGTCCTACCAAAAGTAAAGTATGAAGGAAGGCTGTAAATCTTTGTATTCGACTTTGTTCCTTAATCATTTATCTATGGAATATACGTACAAAGCATGTGGGACCCTTTATTATACGTTCAAAGTACGTAGAAGAAGATTTCAGATCGAAGATTCTTGACACAGTCTGTCGGACCATAGACACTTTAGTGTCTATGGTCGGACAGACTGTGTCAAGAACCGAGTAAAGAACCCAGGAAAGAAGAGGATGATCTTGTGGAGAAGGTAGCTGTGTATTTAGCTGATAGAAAATGTCCACTGAGAAGGTTGTAGTGCTAACAGAAAGAGGCAGATATGGAAAAGAGCTGAAAAGTTTGTTTTCAGTGCAAAATGGGGAACCGTATTACCAGACCAAGATGAACGGGTCAACTATATCATGATAGTGTAGGTGTTTTGTGTATTTTAAGTAGTTTAGTTAGTTATGTGTATGTATGTATGTACGT